GTTACAAAAAATTAAGACATTAGCAAAGAGGCGACGCAATGATATAGGCATTTGATAGGTGATCGCCTTATTTAAACATATTTCACAATAATTATTCCCACCTATTAGACCATGTAAAAATGTAGCTTCGCGATAAGTAGGCACAACAATGTTATTAACTGTTCTTAAATCTCAAAAAGACTTAGGCCCTTTAACATGATTCAATAAAACTCTTATAAAGTATCTCTCGCCCTCAGATGGATTAGCAACAACTATTCTACCAATAACATTTTACTCTTTTTTAGGACTCCAAACTCGAAAATATGTATTCCATACAAAGTATGTAGGAAAATCCTTATAAAGTAAAGTTCGTGCCTTTTCATTTGAAATATTCATTCTAAAAAATTCAGTTAACATTGTTCGTTGGACGGAGTCTTTATTTATAACTTTTGATAAATCATCTGTTTCACTATATGTAACCAACTGAGCATCTTCAATATGTAACTGCAAATAAACTACAGAAGGAGATATGTTGAATAAATCAAAACTAAAAATTCTCCATATAACTTTCGGTGCAGATATCCATCTAGCAGTTTGATAATTCGAAATCTCATTAATATAATGCTCATTGGTTTCTTTATTCACAGTAAAATTAACACGATCATGTCTTTTATATACATATTTGTATAAGTATTTGACTGTTTTAACAGAAGAACATATTTTAACATTAATGTGACAGTCATACTTAGCCAAAATATAAGGATTATATGGTGCAACCCATCAATTGTCTAGTACAGATCCTATGAACCTAACAGTAACACTATCGTCACGACCCCTATAAAGTGGATATGAATCACTACCTAATGAAGTATGCAAAATGTATTCTCTTGGATACTTGTTTTTAAAAGTATGGTTATTTTTCATGCACACATTTATAGGATTTAATTGTCCACAATGACCATACATCATATATTTGACCACAGTAGCATGCAAGTGAGGATCTCTCTTTGGATCCGGTATTTCATAAGAAATAATTTCGTCAATTTGTGTAAAATTAGTAATCTTAAAACTCATTTTAAATATCAAGAGAAAATGAACATGAGGTAGACCTCTTTTTTGGAATTCAATGACATACACATAGGTAGCTATAGGGCCTAGAATTTCTCTATTAAATCTGTTTTTAGTTTTTCAAGTTTTGCTCAAAATATTCCAGCTAACAAATCTGGCCTATTTTGTATTTTATCATTGTGCCTCAATTCTTGTTTAATTTCAAGCCAATTTGGATTGCATGTTATTGTTAAAAATACATCAAATTTTCCATATCTTTGAATTAAACACATTGCATCCATATATCTTTTAGTTAAATTTCTAGGACCCCAATAAACCCTGTAGGGAACACAATTGATTTGCCAACTTTATAGCCTCTATTCTCACCATTTTGTATACTATCTACAATTCCTTGGTAAAGTTCACCTCGTATTGTCTTTTGATTATTACGAAAATAATCTAATCTCGCAATTTCAATCTTAACATACATATCCACTATATATTGTTGTAGAAGTCTGCATGTATGAAGGAATACAAACTTATCTGAAAGTCTGATTTGAAGTTTGTAGCAATAATATTCACAGCACGACACAATAATTCGTTTCTCACCTCTCTTTATAACTGAAAGGAAAAAAAATTAAAGTCACAAAGACAGATCTAGAAATGACAATACATTTATGCGCTCTAAAAATATTAAAGAACTTTAATGGTAATAAAGCTTACCACGATCTTCCATCTCTATAAGTTGTTCGGCCGAATCAATGTGATTGATTTGTATGAAATCTTCATGGACTATTAAAGTATTCAAATTTACTTTTTCGATACCTTCATGCCATCCAGGTTCGCCATAGGTAAATATCAATGGATATTGAAGTGGATCATAACAGCCATAGTAGTAATTTACTCTATGTGCATTGGAATGTCCATAAATTAATATATCACGAGTCTTTATGCTTGCAGATGGATCCTCATCAACCCATACTGCAGCCACCTGTTCACATGATGACATGTTATATACTCTCTGGTCGAGACTCATATCAGACCTCAGCATGATACAACATGAATTAAAATTAGAAACTTCACTTAATGATCGAAAGAAACGATAATATGGATTTATCTTTAAGATATCTATTAACTTTTTCAAAATTGATTCACTTAACATATTTGAAATTTGTATTCTATTACTAATTTCATTATCAGTATCGTAAAAGTTTAACTGCAAATACGTAGGATTTTCATCAGTAGGTAGAAGTGGATTTATAAAATGATATACCTATCCCTAAATTTTGAACGTATATACACATCTATTATTCTTGCACAAATTTTTATCATATTTAATACCAAATGAAGTGAATGTAAAATGGTTGTTGTAAGTACGAGCAACTTTTTTACAAGCAATCGCCTCACATGAAGTAGAAGTAAATAGCTCATACAATTCAGGGAAAACATTGTTTAGCTGTAATTTAACCTTTCCATCACAACAACAAAAACCCTTACTTTTTTCGTAAAACTTTTTTGCACCACAATGTTTACAAATTGTACAAGACGAAAGAATATAAGGTTCAATTGCAATATTTTGTATATCAATTCTCTTAGAACGATCTAAAATAATAGGAACATGTGAACCACATTGAAATTGCATATTGTCATTTTCATATTGCTTTTCCACATTAATGCTTTCATGAACACGAAGATCCTTCTGTAATTCGACAGACTAATCAATAGAATCTAGAATCATAAAATTAGTATAAAATCGCTGAAGACAACAAAAATGCAAAAAATTGGATTAAAAAATAATTTTACAAAATAAGATGAAAGGAAGTGCACTACAACATAACCAAATAAATAGTCGGATGCAAAAAAAAATTTATAAAAAAAATATTCAATCTACGAAACTTGCTGTGAACTCAGGACAGCATCTCATCCTTCTTCCTCACATATGTGTAGAACTTGTAGATACTTCTGTAATACTAAATATTTACGTTAAAATTACATAAAAAAAGTAAAAAATATTAAATCAACAAGAAATCACATTTAAACAACAAATCATACCTATATGTCTCTTATGCAATTTGTCTTTTTGTACCCTTAGCTGAATTACAAGTTCATAATCGTGTGCTTGTTTGGATAAGTCCAGCATTCTTAAACGAGCACGTCCGCTCTTAAACCAATTATAAACATTCATATCAGAGATTTGCTCATGCAACGATAATTCAAAGACTATCTGCGTGATCCTTGACTTGCTTGGAGTTTTATTCTCTTGATTAAATATAGATCCGAGAACTTGAAGTTGTACAGATGTAGACGTCAAATATTGCTTACCCATTGTATTGCTGAAAGAAAGAAACCACAAAAATTAACTCAATAAAATTCGAAACATAACTAAGAGAATGCATATTGAAAACAATATCCTCAGACAAAAGAAGTCAAAAAATGAATACACTTCCAAGACCCGAACAATAGAAAATATATCGAAAAACAGAATAAAAGTAAAAATAAAACCCACCAACAACAACAGGTCTATCGTCGAACAAAATATACACGTAACTTGAAGACAGAGAGAAAACTGAAGAATGGTAGGGATGGGAAAGAGACGACGAAAATAAGAATAATGATTAAAATAAGGATAAAGATAAGTGCTTGCACGAATGAAAGGAAAACAACGTCATTTTTCCGTTCAAAAGGTAAAATGAAAATGACACAGACAGAGAAATGAATAAATTATACTAATCTAAGTACTACAATTAAAAGAATTTTAAAAAAATAAGTATACTTATTCATTTTTCTATATTATATATTATAAATTTTTATCATCACATAAATAGAAATTGCAAAATTTTAAAAATACTGTTAAGAAAGTTCGACTATTGATTAAACTTCATACAACAGAAGAAACTCATGTTTAAACGAAAATATAACTTCATATAAAATTATGTCCACAAAAAAAAAATATATTGAACTATTGTAATAAGAGCTAAGAGAAAAAGGAGGAAAAAATAATGCCTCTGTAATTACGGAGGCTCAAAGGGCAAGACCTCCATAATTACAAAGGCTCAACGTGCCTCTGTAATTACGGAGGATCAAAATTCATTTTTGTCTTTCTTTTTCTTTTACTGGCTCTTAGTACAACAATTTAATTTCATTTAATCAACTTAATTTTTTTAATAGATGTGATTCCTAAAATAAATATATAAAATATAAATCAATTTTTTTTTTATATATACAGAGATTATATAAATCCTTCAAATGAGCAAAAATGCAGATAAATAATAGACACATTAATCACATTTCCAATCGTAACTTTTTGAGTGCAATCAAATAATGTGTGAAACATGTTAAGATCAAATAGTCACTCACATGATAGTTCAATAATTTTTTTCTCCTCACTTTTGTTTTTGAGAAGAGTAAGATCAAACTTTTTCGGTAACATATTGTCCATTTCTACAACCCGTAAACCTCCTGTCAAATCTGAAGAAAAAGAAAAAAAATAGAGGAAGTACATATCCTCTAACTTAAATAGCTTATCGTGTTTTCAAAATTTACCTTAAATTTCTTCTCACATAAAAGATTTACATATCTTTGTTTGCAGGTGCTCAACAAAAAGAAAATCAGGTGTCTATCTACTCTTTCTTGATTATCCTAGCTATTTTTTCAAAACTAAATTTTGCACTTTTAACTTATATCGTGTTTATTGAATATAGATGGACTAAATTCAATATTCAATTCTATTAAAAATCGAACACAAATCATGAATTTCTTACCAAACTTCATAATATTCTTCTACAACGACATACAAGATATTTTCCTTTTTTAAATCATATACAAAGTTTATCTTACAGACATGAAACTTCCATTAACAAACTTTATAACTTGCCTATACTATAAAATCTACCTTAAAATCTATATCAGAGCCTCCACAACGTAAATAACAGAGTTCTTCTAACAAAATTTTCATTGTAGTATGCCGAGACAGAATGAAGGTGCTACATCGTTTCTTCATAATCATTACTCCTTCACAAAACCATAATACCCTTTTGGTTAGTCACACAACAGTTTCTTCTCTGACATTTGAATAGATGCACTCTTAATACCTCTCTTATACTTTTTAATGTATATGTACAGATGCTTCCCAGATTCTTTATCAACGATTGGAGACACCAACTTGGTGACACAGTACAAGTAACTGCATATGATGGTATAATTGTCACAATACGATTGGAAAGAGATGATGGAAGAATATATTTTGCCGATGGATGGAAACAATTTTTTGACCATCATAATTTACAGGATGCTCATGTTTTGATATTTGAATATAACGGAAACTCCACATTCAATATGACCATTTTTGACCATTCTAGATTAGAGGTCACATATGAATCTGATGTTCCTGAAGAATACAACGTTTCACATACAGATAATCCTGCATTTGGAATAACACTAACACCTCATCACAATAGCCACCGAAAAATTGTAGGCGTCATCTTTAATATCTCATTCTACATTCATCTCTTCCACATAAATTTGATTCCAAGAACAATAATTTATTCATTCATGATTTTTCAGTGTATACCAAGACAGTTCTCTAGATACCACCTACCAAGAGGTGTACGAAGTGTTCAAATCCATGATTCTTTACATCACAACTGGGAGCTCGCCACAAATTTATGACCAAACGGTCTAATAAGATGTATGACTATAGGTTGGACAGATTTTTATTTTTTTTTACAGAAAAAGAATTACAAATGGGCGATACATGTATTTTCGAACTTTTAAACAGTGAACCTCCAAAGTTTATCGTTTACAAAAAAGACCATGTTGGTGGAAGTTTGACACGTCTATGAGACCTCTTCACTTTCTTCTAAATGAATTTGTATACATCGAAAATGTTTTATTTTCATGTTAATCCATGTTAATCTATTCTGCTATTTCTACACCCAATTCTATTTACTCTCTTATTTACCAATCCATTCCATCCACATTTTAATGATTCCCAAATATCTAAAATTGAACAATACAACACCATTCCTTCATTGGAACTCCTTAATTGAAGTATAATGTTCATAAGAAATTTGCACACACATTATGCAAATAGATACATTGTTTCACCAAAACATTTGTTTTATATTCATTTATATAGAAACCACCATAGGCGTATATTTCATTTTATTTTTTTATATTTTGATACGGATCAATTGCATACCCCCCTCCCAAAAAGAAGAAAACATTAACAGCAAAAATTCAAAATGAAACAATTCACACAAAATGCAAGAAAAAAAAATCAATCAAACTCCGTTAAATGAAATTGAGTTGCAGAGCGTCCAAAAATTTCAATAAAAACAAGAATAAGAACTAAAATTCAAAACAATCAGACCTCAATCAATCCATACAAAATATATAATAAACAATCCTAGTTCACTCCAGAGTTTGTGTACAACAAATCAACATCAACGTCGAGGTTCAACGCTATACAAGAAAAATAAAAAATCAAATCACATGAAAGTAGATTTCCCCTGCAAAAACCATCGCAGGAAAAATCTCTAGATATTACTATTATCACGAACTAAAGAGAAGCTGAAAACATTCTCCACCACTATCTGCAAACTACAATAAGGTCAGCAGAAATAACGTTATTCCATCTAGTAAGAGCCAAAAAAATATGTGTCAATGATCGAACAAACAAAGAAAGCAAATACAATAAGCACAACAATTGGAGCACAGAATATAGAAATCCCAAAAAAATAAAAATAAATAAATAAATAAATTTCGAACTATAGGATGCCTCAGGATTACGAAAGAAAAGAATATTCAAACCCAAAATATAAAATCAATCAAAAGAAGAACACAAACACAAAAGTCCACAACAGATTGGAAGCCCCACAGAAATCAATTTGAAAAAATAATACAAACTATAAGTGGGAAAAAAGAAGGAACTAACTTGTTAGAAAAAAGCAGCCTGAAAACACCAAAATCCTAGCATTAGATACCAAGCAAATAGCTGAAAAAAGTATAAAACAGATTAGCGTATACGTCAAAAAAAATAGAATAGAAATAGAAATAGTATACATATACATGGAGAAAAGAAAGGACCCAATGAAACTTAGAGAGAAGAATCGTAAAATGGAGAGAACAGACAGTAGCGTGTGAAAATGGAGAAGAAGAAAGAAAGATCCACTTAATTGAGGACAAGTGGGTGCTTCACTGTAGCTTGCAGTTTTTTTTTTTTTTGGTTTGCAGACGGCATCGTTTTTGCTCTAGAGATGGAAAAAAATTGCTACAGTGTGTGAAAATAGAAGAGCAGACGGCGTCGTTTTTGCTCCAGAGATGAAAAAAAGTTGCTACAGTGTGTGAAATGGTAGAATATACCGTTTTTTCTACAGTAACTAACATTGCCCTTTTTATATAGTAGTGAAAACCATAAAACCTTTTCAAAAATACGAAAACTCCTTGAAAAGATTCTCCAACCGAAGAACCCATGAAAAGTACAATTCATCTAAATGCCAAGTTAACAATCCACAGCGTATCAAAACTGTAAAATTCTCCATCGATTGGAGAATTTCAAAAAAACCTATTGAATTGAAAATCCGACCAAACAATGTTGATGTTTAGGCTAACAAGGCCAAAAATAAAACCAATATAACCAGGAAAATAAAAACAATGCATGGGTGCTGTCTTTTGTTAATATAATTGATCAGAAATTCAATGTTGTATGGGTATTGTCTTTTGATAATTGATCCATGTGATGTTAAATTCAATGGTTCACGTGTACACTCTCCATGCACGAAGAGTGTAGTCTGTGCACTTTGTTCGAATTTTTTTCTTTTCTTTAAGTTAATAACAACTCCAATTTTTTGATTTTTAGAGAAATTTTAAGGTTATTTGCTTTTTAAGAAATTTTAGCCAAATTTATTGGAAACGTGCTAATAAACAAAAATCAACAGCAAAATAATAATACAGGAAGAAATATACATATTGAAAAAAATTATATTCTCAATCTCTTAATTATAACACAATGTGCTCTTCCATTGTTAAATGGGAATCTTGTTGGATTCTGTAAATTTTAGATGGTTATCATGCTTTTAAATATTTGTTAATTTTGCATCGATTAATTCTTTTTGGTTGCGTCAATTCTTGTCAAGAAATTTAAGAATTGGAAAATGTAATTTATATTCGAATGTTGTTTAAACTTTTCTTCATAGATTTTTGATAGAACTACACAGAGAGAAGACAGAAGAGAAGAAGAAAATAAGATGTGATTTTCGCATTTAAAAAATGCTATAGCGAGACAAAGTGGAACAAAACACTGTCGATTTAAAAGAATTAAAAAGAATTTTAAATCTAAAAAAATATATATTTATAATATGAAGAAAAAAGAAATTTAAAACAATTTCTAAAAAAAATATACAATAAAAACAAAATAAAATAAAGTTACAAAAATTAAATAAAGAATATAAATATTATTTCGTTAAAACTGAAAAATTAAGTTTTATTTGAAAGAGAAAAGAATTAAAAAGAAATTTAAATTGATTAAAAAAACAATTATTTATAAAGTTAAAAAAAATAAATTGGGAAACAAATTTTTGTCTCCATATGTCTCCGTGCACGGAGAAATTTAATTTTTTTTTTGTTTTTTGTTTTATATTTGCATTGTTTAGTTTACATTATATATAATTTTTTTTCAATTTAAAAGTTTTTTTAATTCTTTTCTCTTCAATTTTTTTAACTTACAAGTAACTTTTTCATTAAAACCAAAAAATTAAGTTTTATTTGGAAGAGAAAAGAATTAAAAAGAAATTTAAATTGATAAAAAAATAATTATTTATAAAGTAAAAAAAACATGCACGGAGAGTTAGAGAGAGATTTTTTTTAAGCTAATATATTTTTATATATAATAACTAACTACAATGATAAATTTTTTTTATTACACTTAAAAAACTAGAAGCAATTTTTTTACTTATAATTAACTCTTTACATTTTAGAAATATACTGAGCTAATATTTTTTTTATTGAGCATGGAGTGAAGAAGATGAGACTTGGTAAGAAGTATGGAAAGTTGCGTGTTGCAATAAATTTGAAGGTACACTGTATAATAAAATATATATTGAGACAAACGGCGTCCTTTTTGCTCCTCCACTTCAAAAAAATAAAAAATAAAAATTCTAAAGTGAGATAAAATGGATTAAAATACTATTCACTTCAATAGTGTCTTAAAATATATACTAAGACAAACGACGTCGTTTTTACTCCCCCACTTGATAAAAACAAAAAAGCTACAGTGAGATAAAATGGAATAAAATACTATTCACTTCAACAGTTTCTCCACATTTCCCTTTTTATATAGTAGGGATATACAGTAAGTTTTACTAGCTGGTTTGAAATTTCTTGCTTTGTCTCCCATTTTATGGCTTTCGTTGTAATTTGACATAAAAAACTGACCAGATCAAAACCATGAACTGAGATTGATTAGCAAAAGAAATTATATTTTTAGGGTTGATGATTTGATTACACAGCTTTATTAGGTTGACAAATTGAATGTAATTAAAGGTTTATTTGGTCAAAATGCACTTTTGACCGGTGGACTATGAATGTTCATATTGTTTTTATAACTTTAGGGCATCCAAGGGGCCAACAGTTCATTCTACAAATCCCCCAAGCTTTGCTTCCCCCGTTCGAGTGGAAGCTTGGGAAGTGGGTAGGCAGTTAATACAATGAAATAGAAACCATCATCCCAGGCCTTACTTAGCACCACATTTACTTGTTTTTTCTAGAAAATTGTGGTAGGGGCAAATAAAGTAATCTTAATACCTGGATAAAAGTCCATAAAAGACACAGGATTATCCTAGGCCTTACTTAAGCACCACATTTTACTTGTTATTTCAACATTTTGCACTTTTGGAGTTTTATTTCAATTGTATCCTTTGGATTTAATTTGATTGATGCCATAGTGTTTTAATTTTGGGTTCCTATGAATATGAATTTCTATGGTTTGGTTTCTACTTTCTGATTTTTGAAAATAGTTAAATAGGATTTTATTTTTTTATTTTTTATTTAGGGGAATTTACAAAATTGTCACCAAAAATGAAAGTTAAAAAAAAAATGTCATTTTCACTTTTTGTGAGCAAAAATGTCACATTTTGGGGGTGCAAAGTCCAAAATACCCTTAATCACACATTTCTAGTAGCATTAAATGCTTGATGTGAAGGAAAATCATTGACTTGATAGAAAACATGGATAAATGTGTATTTTATTGATTAATATGAATTTTTGTTAATAAAAAATTATCAAATAAATTAGAAAACGAAACAAAAACAAGAAACCCTACATCTTTTCCATCTTCTTCATTTTCATTGATCAAGAAGACATTTGTGTTGCATTCTACATCCACTTTGAGAGGTTAGCAATTACAAATTAATTTATATTACTTTTATAACTTTGTATTTGTACATATTAAATATAACATGGGCATATTTATTTGAAATTACTTTGAAAGTATTATACATTCATTTGTTTGATTTTTTTGGATCCTTAATAAAATGCCATTATCACCATCGAGTAATTTCTTCCATTACCACCATTAAGGTCTCTTTAATGACAAGGCCAATATGCCATTTTCATTATGTCATTTGGTAGGTGAATAATAATGACCACACTTAATATGATGTGTTGAAGAAACTTCAGAAATTCACTGCCGTCTGCTTCCCGACATTCTCGACAGTTAAACTGTCGAGTTCGACATTTACAAATCGTCGGGTTAGACGTTTAAGATGTCGAACCTGACATTTCGAAACTGCCGAGTTATAGAATATTACTTTCAATTTGGATACTTCAAAACGATACAAACCCTTGATTTGAACTTTTGTTATTGTACTGATTTACGTATTACGAAGTGTGAGTTTCATGCTATTAAATGCCAACATATTGATTCCGAATTGTTACCATTGCAATCCCAACATTTCATATATGAATAATCATTTGAGATTCGTCGTGTTGCATGGGGGAAATTTTGTTCATACGGATGACGAATGGAAGTGGAGAGGGGACAAAACTACTTCCATTCTGGTGCCAAGAAGTATTACCGTAGCCGAACTTATGTTAAGGTTGAAGGAGAAACTTGGTATTCTTGATCCCCGTGCTCAAATTGAATTGAAGTTCAAAGTCCCTAACTTGAATATACCTCTGGCTGAAATATGCGACAATGAAGACTTAAATTGGTACGTATCAGTGCATAAGGAAAGTGCTATCTGCGTTACTGTTTTGGAATCCGATCTCCCAAGTGTTGACATGGGAAGGGATGCAAATTTTGAAGATCCTTCGTTTGTCGCGGTAGATGTTCAGCAAAATGTGGAACATGATTTGGTGAATCGAATGCATAGTGTCTCAAACAATAATGCACTTGAAACACATGAGTATGATAACGGGAGTGCACCATTAGATGAGAACTTGGATAACCCATCACCTAGTTTAGAGGCTGCTAATTCTGTTGACGTCGAGGACGAGCACTCTTTGTCACATTCCAACGATTCAGATGGATATGAATTTATGAGAACTGTGACTACATCCGATCTTGCCGAAAAGGAAATATTCTTCAGGAAGAAAGAGTTGTACTCAAAAATTCGTGCACTTGCTTTGAAAAACAAGTTCCAATTTCGGGTGAGCCGGTCAAGCATGAAGATGTTAACCGTTGTATGCGCCGACCGCAGTTGCAAGTGGATGTTACGTGCTTCTACTGTGAGGCAGTCTACAATCTTTGTGATCCGTAAATTCAATAATGTGCACACATGTTTCATCGATTTTCGCAGTAATGCGCATCGACATGTGACGAGTGCTGTAATTGCCGAGCATATTTTCGAAAAATTGGATAATCCGAACCGATCGTATGATCCGAGCACTATTGCACGTGACATGGAACGTGAGCTCGGTGTCCAAATAAGTTACAGCAAGGCACGTAGGGGAAAGGTGGCCGCTTTACATATGCTGCATGGGACACCGGAGGACAGTTTTCAGAAACTATCTTCATACTGTCACGTACTAGGTGAGAATAACCCGGGGACGGTAACCCACATCGAACTTGATTCTCGCGATAGATTCCATTACTTCTTCCTAGCTTTTGGTGCAAGCATTCGTGGTTACATGCAGTACTTGAGGCCCGTAGTTTGCGTTGACGGTAGTCACTTGAAAGGTCCATACAAGGGTACACTTTTA